CGACAGAAGGTCTACTTCTGGTTACTGTTCCTTTGTTGGAGGAAACCTAGTTACATGGAGGAGCAAAAAACAAAATGTAGTGGCCAGGAGTAGTGCTGAAGCAGAGTTTAGAGTATTGGCTCATGGAATTTGTGAAGGTATATGGATCAAAAGGATACTTGAAGAATTGAAGATTCCTCARCCGACACCTATACGAATTTATTGTGACAATAAGTCTGCCATATCTATAGCTCATAACCCAGTGYTACATGWCCGAACCAAACATATCGAGGTTGACAAACATTTTATTAAAGAGAAGATTGATGCAGGTACAATATGTATCCCTTATCTTCTGACAACAGAGCAAATTGCCGATGTTTTAACCAAGGGACTTCCAAARAAACAATTCGACAATTTAATCAGCAARCTGGCTATGGACGACATCTTCAAACCAGCTTGAGGGGGAGTGTTGGATTTATYAATATTTGTGTAAATATTAGGTGTCAATATTAGTTGTCAATATTTAGTCTTTATTGTTGATATTCAGTCTTTATGGTGTTTATTACTTTCCTTGTTTGTAGTAGGTCATTCTCCTATATAAGAAGACCTAAGTTACATGTTTGAATCATGGAGTACTCTCAAATTAACACACTTAATAGATAGAAAATCTGCAATTATCTCTTTGAAAATGTCTATTGTCTCTTTCTATCAAAATCCACCAAAAGATAGCTGGTCCTGTGTCCCTAGCTTTTCCCCCACCTGTTAGGACCATTAGGTTAAAAGTTAGAAATATTATGCGGATGCTAAAGGTATATTAGTTATTAACTAAGGAGTTTGTTAGTAAGAAGGTGGTTATAAATAGAGTGAGTGGGATGATGAAGATAAGCCATTGTTTTTAGTTGTTTAAGTTTGAGTTTAGTTGAGAGGGACGTCTCTGAGTTCTTATTTTACTTTATTTTCTTCAAGTGTTTAATGCAATATCTATTTTAATTGTCTAGTTTGTATCATTTGCACCTTGATAAAAGTCTCCTCAATAGAAACAGAAAATTATTTTCAATCGAATGCGATTTCTTCTACAAAACATGAAGTTGTTTCAGGAGCATCCCAACCTAAGATGTACATACAAATTTCATTGCACTAGTGTAGTGATGTGAAGTAGCTCCACTTGCAGTTTACCTTTTTTGAGTTCAAGAATCGACATCATATAATCTGGCTCATTTTTCTGTTTCTCATGTTAAAATTTACTCAATTTTACATCCTGTTCCCTATTGGCAACACTTCTTTGATTTGAGCACTATCAATGTGATAGACCTCCAATTCAAAAAGTATATTCTAGAAAGAGAGGAAAAATGAGAGATAAGTGTGACGTGAGGGAATTCTGTTAGCGGGGTGGGCCCAAGTTAGGTAGATGGGCATTATAGTAAATAGTAGTATACGGTTGATGCGGGCTGGAAGTGAGGTAGGTGCATCTTTTGTCTGGTTTTTGGTAGGATTTAGTGTGGAGAGGATGGGGAGATCTTGAAATCTCCCTCGACCCTTATAATTCCTCTTTCCTTTTATTGCTCTTTATTTTCACTCTTTCGAGAGTTTGTTTCCTTGAACATTATTGTTCCTTTTCCTTATTTCAGTGAGAAGTTTGTATTTTGTTCAAAAAAGAAAAAAAACATAATGACTTATATGATATAAAAATTCACAAGCTGTGTTCTGATTTTTGTAACTGTTCTTATCCTTGTTTGATTGACGAATTCTGTCTACTTTATTTTCTGCTGCAGTGAAACTCTTCTGATCTTCTTTTTCCCTCAAGTTCTAAACTTCCTTCTGTCACTCCCCCAGGTTTGATCCTCTCTGTGTGTGAGATTTTTCTGTACACGATTCAATATTTAAAATTTGTGATATTTCCTTGTCAGTTATTTGGATTTGTTGCTTGTCCACGGCATCGCCTGCCAAGGTATTCATTTTCCTATCCCCCAATAGAGATATTTTCTTTCGACCATCTTCGATTGTTAATACGATATATAAGAATTGCTACTACAAATAGTTCAATTGTGAAAATATCAATTGCTTGTTAAAACTTGTGAATTGCGTGAAAGTAGGATACTCCCCGCAAAAAAGAAAAATAAATAAAAAATAAAAAAAACATATGTGCGTAAATTTAATATTCTTATATCTTCCTGCCCTCAGATTTGATTCTCAGACTGGACTACTGACTGGAACAAATGATGGAACACTTGTGAACTTTTTCTTGCGAATTTTCGGGAGGAAAACAGAGAAATCACTCTGCACCCATCTCCTTGTTTTCCAGGTGATTTCCTCATTTCTTCTCCTTGTATATTCAGGGCCAGGGGCAGAGCAAAGAAAAAATAATCCTTATGAAATTAAGATTTTAAAGTTTTTCTTCGAACCCCTCTCGGTTCTAAGAATCAAAAGATATATATACAGAGTTAGAACTTGGAACGTAAAGTTTTATCCTCATGAAATTTTCTGGTTCTGCCATGCTTGGATTTGCATTGTTTTTCTTTATTATAATCATAAAACCCCTTGGTTCTAGAAAATTTCCCTTAATCTTGTTCTAGCTAAATTTGCCAAATATAATGGCATCATGACTATTTCCTTGATCTATGGTATTGGTTAATAAGAACTTGAGCACTAGCTCAAAGATTTTGATTACTGATCTCTGGGAACTATTCAAATTTCTAACGTTCATCTTGACAAGCAGGGCATTTTCTGCTGCTTCTGTTTCCTGCTGAGGTATTTGCTTGCTGGATGGTATAAATAAAATGATACCACGAGAACATAATCTTCACTTTGAAGCTTTTCAGAATCATGCTGTCATTTTTCGATACTGTATTACTTTATACGACGTTCTACCGAAAGTACAATCGCGGTTTACTCTGTGGGATTGAGTTGAAATGGTGTTGTGCGATGGAAGTTTCGACAATTTTTCGAGAACTTTGAAATGTATTCAGGAAAAAGTGCTAGTGTAACTTTTTTTTTTGTAGAAAGCTAGACACTAAAAATTTCTTCTGGAATTTATTTCTGACTAACATATTGTATTATTTTGACATCAGAGAATGAAGGAAAATGTGGGTTTCGTTTAGCTGAGAATTTTGTTTAAATTTGAGTGTTAAATCAAATGTTTGCCCTTTTTTATCTTGTTGATATCTCTAATGTTATATAGAGACCTGAAAGTTTTTTAATTTTCCTTCTCGTGTTCTTTTACCATGGTGCAGTRCAATTAAGAAAAAGTTGAATTAAAATGGAATGAGTTATTACGAAGTTTAGTAACTAAACTTGTAATTTAATTTTTAAATTTGATATCAATTTTAAAATCGGGTAAACAAGCTTATGCTAAAAATTAGTTGGTCAACTTTATAAATTTTATGTTCTTTTTCTCCTTTGAAAGCTTTTTGACAATTGACATCATTGGTAAAAAAAAAGTTTGACAATGTGTTTGAAACTACAAAATTGTTATATACGTTTAATTTTTAATGAAAAATATTAAATAACAAGTTGAATCTCTAAATTTTTAAGATTGTGTCTAATATATTATTAAAATTTAAACCGTGCATCTAATAAGTTTTTGAAATTTTGTATCTAATAGATTATCTAATCTTTTGTCTAAAAAAAAAGATTCCTTATCTTTTGATATTTTCTAAAGTTTATAGACTTATCAGAAAAAAAAAAGAATTTTGCCTATTGTTTACAATAAACAATAAACTCTCAATTTTGTGTATGGATCTATAAATTTTAAAATATTTTAATGCAGATACCTATTAGACATAAAATTAAGGTTAAAAAACACATTTGGTCTATTAAAGTTACGATTTGGTCTCTAAACTTTAAATTTAATCCTTTGTACATTAAAATTGGTTACAATTTAGGKATTTCATCAATGAATACGCTGCTTGTGACTCCACTTCTCGCCCATGACTAATCTCTCATCTTTCTTGTTAGAATAGGATATTAAATCCTAGGTAGGTGGTCACCATAGTTTGAACTCATTCCCTCTAAGTCTTTTACTATTTACAAAGACCCTTATTGATCACTTAGCCATCCATATGGTTAGTTGCTTGAAATTGAAAACCACGACTCATCACTTTTTGTTCAAATTCCAAATCCGAGGAGATTTTTGGAGCAGCGCAGTTTGGGACCTTCTTCGTTTTTTTCCAGTTCGAATTGATCATCAGTTTCTGTAATCGGTGGAATTCTCAATTGGGGAGATGAGTTTTTCTTTGTTTTATTTTTTTAATCTTTTTCTACCATTTCAATTTGAAGGATGAAAGATGAGTCATGGTGAGCCGTTTCTTTTTTCCTTTTCTAAACCCCTAAAACACCGTTCTAAAGTTAAACCCAACCCATCAAAGTTGGACCAACCCGCCAGATAGCTCGAAATATTTTAACGACAGGGACTAAATCATATATGTCGGGTCTAATCGTATTTAGAGAAAGAAGTTTGTTGTTCCAAATCTTATTACTCAAATAGAAAAAGAATTAATTTTTGATCCATAAGATATTGTAAGAGATGGTTGAAATTTCTAACTTCTTTGTTATACCGTACATCAMAAATTGGATTCGAGCTTCGTCTCAATTCGTCGTGATGCTCATTGTCATGTAAAAAAAATGTATCAATACAAATAAGAGTGATTTGTACCTTAAATTAGAATCAAATTAAAACTTTTAAAATTAGAGAATCTAAATTCAAACAAACATCCTATCATAAAGATTAAATTGAAAACTTGACGCAGTGTAATTAGATAAATTAGAGTTTTTTCTTTTTTTAATTTTTATTTTGCACACAATTTATTAGAAAGAACAATAGAGAATTATGTAAACAAATTTGCAATTTTTGTCATATCATCCTTCCAATCCTACTCTACTCTAACAATACAACTACATGTAAATTGTTATCAAGTTTAAAAGATAAAATTGATGACTCTACAAATAAAAAAACCAACTCCTAAATTCCCATTTCATCTCCCCATCACAGAATAGCCTGAGGAAGAATCCGGGTAAGAAATTTTCAACCCAAATTCTTGCCCTCTTGCTTTCTCGCTCGACTTGAAAACGGGAGCGACTTGCCTGCTATCGAAAGGAAAACGCCAAGAGTTGTAGGTTAATGAAACCGCCATCCCGACAATGACCTCTTCAAGCCCCCAGCTAATCACAGCGAGGAATGGATTATACGATTGATCTGATCTCTTCTCTCTGTCAGTCAGATATAGATTGAAAGAGAGGCCTCTAAAAACGTTCTACTTTTCCAATGATTTTTTCTGAACCAGGTTACCGAGAACGACCAAAACGAACATATTGGAATATTGAAGAACTTTACACCTGAACAAATAACTGGTTTCTTAAAATCTCAACCACCTTATTAAGAACAGCTTCATTTTCCATCAGATACTGCTCTGCTTCATGCTTGCTGCTGCAAATCCTCCCTTCTATATGGAAGATGCCACCATCTTTAAGAATGACTCCATGCTCACAACCCATTTCCAAGACCTCAGATTCACAGCAAAAGCCCCTCCCAAAATGTATCCCCATTTCTGCCATTTTCATTGGAGCTGCTAATTTATTTTTCACCACTTGCACTCCGATCGCGAGACCCGTGACCTAAAAACCACCGTACTTAGATTCAGGGCAGAGCAAAGAAGGAAGTAGGGGGCAATTGCAATTGCCCCTACTTGGATTTTCAAAGAACAAGGTAGCACACACATTCTGTACTCGGGACTCAAAAAATAAGGAAGCACGAGCATTCATTCAATATCAAAGACTAGAGCATCGTCAATAAACAGCTGCTATTTTAGTCCTTAATGTTATAGTACTTTTTCAATTTAGTCCCTATGGTTTAAAAGTTTCAATTTACTCAGTTTAGTTTTAACATGTTCAATAACACACTAGTTTTTTCTTTTGAGGTAGAACTACACACTTTCCGTTGGTGAATGTTAGTTAAAATTGGCAGAGGACAAACTTACCTGCATTATACTTAGTGAGGAGTATAACTTTAGAAGAATAATTAAGCCATCTAAACGAGAAAATATTCTAATTTCTCCACCAAATTTCTAAGGTGGCAGAACTTTCGACTTTTTTTCTAATATTCTGCTGAACTCACTATCTATCATCTATACCAATTTTAACCTTCACCAACTGGAATGGAAAGATTGAAAAATGTTAAAAGACACGCTTTTTAAACTGGGACTAAATTGAAAAAACAACTGACATATATTTAGGCAAAATAAAGTTATATAGTAAACTAGCAGTAAAACCATATTCAACTAGAAATGAAATGAAGTTTACCTTATCTTCACTCTTCAGTAATCCCATTCTTACAAGCCTCAATCTTACTGCAGCATAAAATTGCAAAGCATTCCCACCGCAGGTCACCTCATCCATATGTCCAAAACCATCCCGAGATCCTGCACTTGATCTAACCTAAATATAGACGACAATGCTGCATAGTGAAACACTATTTCTTCATGTGTATGGATGGCTTCAATTTACAATATGAGGAAGCACTCGTGTGACTTAGTCCCAACCTGATTAATAAAAACAATGAGAGTTTGAGATTGGCTCACTGAATGATATATTTTCCTTAGGGCCCGGGTCATCACTCGTGATTGAACATCTGTCTGAGGGCTGCCGATCAGAGAATCTAGTTCGCACTGTGGGACGAGGGCAGCTACCTGAGGAATCCATTTATATAGGCACTATCAATGAAAGCATTAGGGGACAGAATAATACAGAAGACTCAATAATATAAAGTTGATTGTTTCGTTCCCCAATTCTCTTTCAAAACTTTTTCAGGTATCATGGAAAAGTCATAACTCTCTCTTTTCTTTTCTTTTTTTTTTTAATAATGAGAAACCGAGCTTTCATTGAGATAAAATGAAAGAATACAAAAACTCTTACGAAGTAGAAAGATATTTTAATGGCTCTTATCTCTTTTCAGCAGGAGGATAAGTTAATAAAAAATTTAAATATCCACAACTTACACTATCCACCACAATTACATCGACAGATCCACTTTTGACTAAAGTATTAACAGCACACAACAAATTTTCAGCAGAATCTGGGGGTGAAATAAGAAGATTATCTACGTTTACGCCCATTGATTCAGCAAGTGACATGTCCATTGCATTCTCCGCATCAAAATACGCACAGTATCCTGCCCAAGGAAACTCAATAAGCAAATATGACAGTGAAGCCAAAGAAACCAACAAGCTATTGATAAATTTCATTAGATTTCTTTCGGCTGGAAGGAAATGGCCTTGTGGTGCACACGTAGCACATGTGTTTTTCATAGTGATAACGGTGAGTCATTGAGCCTCAGCGCACATTCATGTCTCCTTGAAAGCAATGTAATAGTGTACCTTTCTTATTTTTCCTCTAACTGCACACCAAATTATTTGTAATCCAGCTCATTAATCCCCCTCCCCCTTCTTTCAGCATTTTAGCAATAAAAAGTGTCCAAGCAAATCAAAATAGATAGCTTGAAAGTTTTAAAAGTGGATATCATCAATAAATTCCAGAAATACAGGCGTACATATACTGAACGGTTGATACTCATATAGATTTTTTTTTTTCCTTTTAACAGGAAACAAGTCTTTTCATTGATAAAATAACCTACCAGCAATCAGCGCCCTATCTTTAAAGCAGAATGCGTCTGTTTTTGAGTGTTGGAACGGAGGAAACCAAACGTGGGATATTGGCATAAGGAGGGGTTTGTTTGATAGAGAAGTTGAGCAATGGATGAGGCTGGTGCAGAGGCTGGATTCTGTTGTTTAAGGAGAGGATGATGATAAGATTGTGTGGACCCTTGAGGGGGATGGGCTTTTCTCTACGAAATCAGTACTTTTGAATCTTGTGGATACTAATGTCAATTCGCTTCAGTCCCCTATAATTAATTTTATTTGGAAAGATGCCATCCCAAAGAAAGTGAAGGTTTTCTTATGATCGTTAGCTTACCGAGCTTTGAACACTTATGAGAGGCTCCAAAAGAAATGCCCAGGCTGGTCGATTTCCCCTTCTGTTTGCTGTTTGTGTTTGAGAGAAGCAGAATCACTAGACCACTTGTTTCTTCACTGTCCTTTTACTAAGAAAGCTTGGATGGTTTTGTTTGATATTTTTGGGCTCTCGGGTTGCTTGCATAGAAGCATTGAAGATTGGCTGCTTGAATGTTTTTATGGATGGCATCTTAAAGGAAAGGTCTATTTTTTGTGGAGGTGTGCTTTCAGAGCGTTGGTTTGGAACATTTATGGAAAGGAATCTTCGCTCTTTTGATGACACGTCTAAGTCTTTTGATTCTTTTTGTAATAATGTACATATCACAGCCTCTTGGTGGTGCCATAGAAATACTAAATTCTTTTGTAACTACTGATCTTACAAGATTGGAGAGCCTTGCTGTTCTAGTTTCTTTTTTGGAGGGGGTCTTCTCGTCCCCTGTCCTTAGGCTGTTTTTGGCTTCTTTTTCTTCCAATGAATCGTTTCTTTATCAAAAAAAAAAAAAACCATAATTTGGGAAATAATTTCTTGCCTCTATAATTCATTATGTTATTCACATTTCATTCATAAAAAATATAATAATAAAAGTAAAAAAAAAAAGGCTAGACTTGAATAAAATATAATAATACTGGGGCAGGAATGATTGATGAGAGAAAAATGAAGGGATAACACAATCAAAAGGACGATATAAAAATCTAAGTTGATATTAAATAAAATGGGCTTTATCCTTAATAAAATATTTTTAAAATAAACAACTTGCCAGAGTTTTCAATAAGCAGTAATCATTCTGATCCAGAAAAAAGGCAAAACCAACAGACACCTCCAAGTTTCTGAGCTTCCTTAATGATGTGGAGCGCCAATGTTGTCTTTCCAGAAGCTTCTCGCCCATAAATTTCGATTATTCTTCCCTGCAGATAGCAAGTAGCATGCTCACAAACAATATTCTATAATCTCATAGAGAATCTAACATACAAGTATATATTGAATACACAGACATTTTCTACATTTACAAACAGTGTAATTTTATAGTCTGAAATTCTTATATAATTATTATTTTTTTATATGAAATTAATGAATTCTTATAATTATATTATTTAGAACTGAAGCATATTGAGAATTTTATGATAAAAAAATATATATAGTTCCCAGACAAGAATAATACAAGGAATTACCAAACAAAACTTCTCTTCTGACAAATCAATTTATAAAAGAACCTAGACATCACAAACAATCCTATCTCATTTTATCTTTGGATTCATCATCAATGTGAATTGGTCATTTTAGTGTTTATTGAGTTACAAGGGTCTCAATATCTATCAAATGCCTCCATAACTCTATTCAATTTAGTTATTCTCTTCTTGCCACTTTATGGATATACTTTCTCTATCGAAACTGGAAAGAGAAAGAAATAGTTCACTGTCCAATAGTGGATAGCAAAGATTATTTGGGTAGTGCCATGGTGACTTTAAGGGAACAAGAACTACTTTAATGCAATGAACTTAAGAGAAGTTTTCAGTATGTTAGAAGACAATGGGAAGATGAAGATATTTGGGCTTCTTAGCTTTTGTTGCCTCCTGTTGGAGTTTACTTCCTCATGCGAAGTGTAACTATACGATCTCTTATATAGCAGCCAAGAGGAAAGGTATTATTTTTTCTTGTAATTCTTTGGCCTCGGTTGCTTATAAGTTATAGTGAGAGTGTCTCTCTAGGTCCATCTTGCAATTCCATTCTATGAATGAAATTGTTTTGTTTCTTACCAAACCAAAAAAGTAAAAAACAAAACAAACCAAATTGACTAACAGAACCACTTAACTGGAATCCTCTCGATATCCTTATATGTAGATGACAAAGGTCAAGTGATTTACAGTCTGTTCGAAGCAAACGTTTTCATATATAAGTACCGTATGATTCACTCAATCCCACCCTTAAATAACAATGTAAAGAAATGAAATATTATACAGAAATAACATTTGGTTCACATCCTACGTAAGTAAATATTTCTAATAAGGCATGAAGATCAGAAAGCGCTCAATGGAGACTTACAGGGAAGGTAAATTTCAGTTAAAAGACCTAAAACCAGCACCACAAATATAAGGGTACTGTAAAATGGAAGGGAAGTGAAGCAACAAGTATAAATTACAGTTATCACGCTCAAAAAGAATAAACTTTAACTGGACGAATTAATCACATGAGCTGAAGAAGAATTCAACTATCAATCACTCACCTTAGGTAATCCTCCAATCCCAAGAGCAAGGTCAAGCTTTAATGACCCTGTAGAAATCACAGGAGCATACCTGGAGCCAAAAAACTTCTGCAAAGACAACATAGATTCCTCTCCAAAATCCCCAGAAAGCTGAGAGATTGCCAGACGTAATGCAGCATCTTTCTTTGTTGTTCTAGTATCATCATAAAGTTTATCGCATTCGAACTCTGAAACATCAACTACATACGAATTTCGGTGTGTAAGGATAAACAGAAACCTTCAATCGTATATCTCTTTATGCAACTAATTAAAAAAAAAAAAAAACCCAGAGATTGCTTCCGTTGTTGCCTTCTTACCTAATGAGGAGAAATGATGAGCATTCATGCCCAAACAGCCGATTACATCTGTCCTTCCCTTCTGGAACAAAAAGGCAAAAGGGTCACAGAATAAAAAACAAAACAGGGGAACCCATTTATACAAACTTAAAAAATTGTAACCCAAAACAGGAAAATTTTGTTAAAAGCCCCATTACCCAAGAATGATATCTAATTCATTTCCCTAATTCTTCATACTTCTGCTCACATTTCCAATTCTAAGAAAAAAACTTGGAGAAAGAGAGAGACCTGGCGGAGGGAGTGGAAGAGAGAGGAAAGGCGAGATGGTCGGAAGTAATTGACATGGGAAGAGCGGAGGAGTGAAGGCTTGAGGAAGAATGCCATGCCTCAAGCTTATTAGGGGAGATTCTTCTGGTTAGGGTTTGAAGATTAAGAATTTTGGATTGCAGAGAAGAACCTCCATTGCTGTCCTTTGCTAAACTCGTGGAGGGTTTCAACCCAAACGTCAAATCTCACATTTTATGAATTCCATGTATCAAATTTCGATAATATTATGAATTTTTGTTCTCCAAACTGCGTTCAAATTTCTACCTCTACCATGTTGTATCCCTCCCTCTCTTCTTGTGTGTGTGTGTGTGTGTATATATATATATATAAATAAGTAAAATAATATTTTGGTTTCTATGTTTTTCGATTTTATTCATTTTAGTTTTATACTTTCAAAATAAACMGTTGCGATCCAAACGAAAGTTTTAAAATGGAATAGGTAAAAATAGATGTTTTGGAAGTACAATTACCAAAATGAATCAAAATAGACATTTTAGAAGTACAATGACTAAAATGAACTAAAATCGAGAGTTCGAAAACTAAAATAGTAGTTAAATATGRACATTTTACCTCTATCACACATCTTTTAGAGTTTAAGATCTCATTTAGCCGGTCAAATTCAAGTTTAGGGGATAGCAATACCTATTACTCTTCTCGAAAGGTTGATGATTCGATTCATATAGTTGTTGAATTTAAAGGACAAAAAAAGGTATCCTGGGACATAAAACTAAAAGTTTAGAGATTTGTTAGACATTTTTTAAAAATTATTAATTTATTAGACACAAAATCTAATATTTTGAAACCTATTAAACAATCTTGACAGTTCAATTAAACTTGTAATTTAACCTAAAATTTGGTTTAAATTTCATATATTTTCTCTAACCTCTTTATAATTTTCTATTTTGTATCTAAACTTTAAAAAGGTCTATTTGGTATTTGAACTTTTAAAAAATTACAATTTTAACTCTAACACCCTCGAAATGTCTATTATAGCTATTCAACTCTAAAAAGCAATTATTTTCACTTTTACCCTTATTTTGATACCTAATATTTCTTTTATTTAATATTAGCCTCAAACAACTTACGTGGCTCCAACAAATCCTACACATTAAAATGTGTATTCAAAATTATATTATCCATTTGTTATGTTTATGCAATATTCTGTCTAGTTCCACAGGTTGGTCACGAATTAATCGGAGTGAGCTGCCAATGTGTGGCCTTTAAGACAGTGAGACCGGTTGGCTTTTTGGCCCTTAATGTCGGTTAATTAATTTAATTAATTAATGTTTTGATGATAACAAACACACTTAGTAATAATTGTTTTTGGTGTGTAAGAATTATTGTTATAAAACATAAATTTATTATGAGCTTCAATAATATTATATGATTTACTGATAATACATATTTTGTTTATTGATAATTTTAGTGTTTTAAAGTGTCCACAGCGTAGGGCTCGATACGATGATTCCAACGAATTTTGAATTACCCAAATCGGAGCTCAAACGAAGAAATTATGATCGAAAGAAATTGGAAGAAAAATTACCCGAAATGGATGACGTGGCAGCTGAATCAACTAAGTGGTCCAACAAAATATTGACATGTGGCATGGTGTCAAAAAAAAGGAAAAGAAAAAAAAACAAAGTTACCGTTGAAGGTAACTTAAAAGAAAGAAAAAATAATAATAATAAAAAAATATATATATATATGTCACATCACATTAAAATGCATATTTGTTTTAAAAAATATATATATTGTCATCACCTTAAATACATATTTGTTTTAAAATATATATATATAGCCGTTTGACACATCCATATATAATATTTTATTATTATTTTATTATTTTATTCAATTAAATCTCAACTGATTTTCAATCATTAAAGATCTAATG